TATCATTTCTTAAAAAGTTATCTGTGTCTTCACCTTTCCCCCCCCTTTTGTTAAGTTTTCCCTGGGTTTGTCAATTTTATTGACTTTTTTGAAGAACCAGCTCCAGGTCTTACTGATAGTTTCAATTGCTTTTTTTTTTTCTTTCCTATTGATTTCAGCTCTTATCCTTACAGTGTTTTGTTTTTTTTTTTCTTCTAGAGGCTGTAGGATTAGATTGCTGTTATTTTTGAAAAATTTTATACTTATTTATTTGTAAAATTTGAATACATTGTTTTTCACAAAAGATACTTTCCATTTCCTTCACTCCACCCACCCATTGAATTGTTCTTTTTTGTATTTGATGAAGGTGTTTATTTAGATCATTGATTATTCTTCTTTATTCTTTTTTTTTTTATGTGAGTACTATTGCTATGAACAGTCCCTGAGGACTCCCTTAGCTATATCCCACAGGTGTTGGTATGTTGGATTTTCATTTTTGATTGTTTAAAGGAACTTTTTATTCCTCTTTTTATTTCTTTATGACCCAATCATGTTCTAGGAGAGAGTTACTCAGTTTCTACATGGTTGGTTTTATAAGCTTTACACTCATGTGGTTAATTTCTAGTTTTATGTAATTATGGCCTGAGAAGACACTTGGTATTATTTCCATTATTATTTTTATAGTATATATTGTTGTTATTGTTTTCCTTTGAGTTGAGCACAACTCATAGCGACCCTATGAACAAAAGGCATGAAGCCCTTTTACAACTATTGACATTTATAAAAGTTCATAGGGTTTCTGGAAGCATATTATTTAGGAAGTGGATGGCACTCCTGCTTCCAAAATAGTAGAGATAGAGCTAGATCTAGAGCTAGAGTTAGAGCTAGAGCTAGAGCTAGAGCTAGATAGAGATAGAGATACACATACACACATATATATATTATTACATTATATATCATATATATTATATATTATAGTATTATTATTCACTATTGTATGTTTTTGGATTTGTTAAGGCTTGCTTTGTATCCTAATATATGACTGATTCTGGAAAATGTACAATGTGCACTTGAGAAAAAAGTGAGTTGAATTTTATTTGGGTGCAGTACCCTGAATGCATCAACAAGATCAAGTTGGCAGATTTTATAGTTTAGATCTCCTGCATCTTTGTTGAGTTTTTGGTTGAACTATCTTTTGGTAATAGTGGTATGTTAAAATCTCTTACCCTAATTGTGATACTGTCTATTTCTTTCTTCAGTTCTGTTAACTGTTGTTTTATGTATTTTGCAGGTCTATCATTTAGTGAATAAATATTGAAGTTATGCCTTCTTGATGTATTCTGCCTTTAATCAGGTTGTAATGTCCTTCCTTATATTTTATGGTGGTTTTCATTCTGTAGTGCATTTTATCAGAGATTAGTATTACCTGCTTTTTTGAGGTTGCCATGTGCTTTATATATTTTTTCTCCCCCAGCCTTTGATTTTGCCACTCTTTCTCTTCCTTTTTGAGATGTGCCTCTTGTAGGGAACATATTGATGTGCTTTGGCTTTTTATCCACTCTTCTATTCTTTTTCTCTGTATTGGCACATTTAGTCCATTCACATTAAGGGTGATTATTGGCAGACTAGGTTTTACTGCTTCCATTTTGCTGTGTGGGGTTTTTTTGGGGGTTCCCCCCCTTGTTTCTGGTTACTGTGGTCCATCCACTTTCCTTTAGCATCTGTTTGAAGGAGTTCACATGCAATTTCTTGGAGCTTTGGTCTTGTTTTCACAAATTCCTTAAATTCTTCCTTTTCTGCATAGTATCTAAAATTTGCCCTTCATATTTGAGGGAGAGCTTTGCTGTGTACAGGGTCCTTGGCTGACAGTTGTTTTCTTTGAACTTTCTGTACATGCCATCCCATTGTTCTCTTGCTTGCATGGTTTCTGCTGAGAAATCAGGACTTTTATATAATTGTTTTCACTTTGTAGGTAACTCTGCTTTTCATATGCTGATGTCAGTATTTTATCCTTATCTTTTAATTTGGAGATTTTGATATAGTATGTCTTGATGTTTTTCTTTATGGGTCTAGTCTATTTGGTGTTTGTTCTGCTTCTTGAATGTGGATTTTCCTGTTCTTCAAAACAGTGGAAAGTTTTATTCTAGTATTATACAATTTTATCAGGGATTTCCCTGTTACTCCCACGTTCTGGAATTCTAATCATACGTATGTTGTTCCTTTTGATGTCATCTCACATGATTCAAATATTTTCTTCATTTTATTTGCATCTCTTCTCTGATCTTATTTCTAGTGTGTTTCCAGTGAGGCTCTTGTCTTACAGCTCACTGACTCTGTTCTACATTTTGTCCTATTAGTGTGTTGAATACACCTTCCATTTCCGTCTTGATGTTCTGGATTGCATTTAGTGCTTTTCTGTTATTTCCTGTACTGTGTTGGCTGTACTCTCTCTGTCTTGTGATGATATTTTAACTTCTTGAACCTCTTTATCTGTGCTATCCTATCAATTCTTTATTCCATGTTTTCATTTTCTCCCATAGGTGTTCAAGTTGCTTGCCATCAGTATATTTCTTCTGGCTCATTGTCCTTGGGATATTTACTCTCTTAATGGCTTCTTATGTTTCTTCCATCATTTTCATTTTCTTCTGTAGCTGTTTGAATAACTCCACATCAAAATATTTCTTCTGGTTCTTCCTACCTAGAGTAATCATTGGGTCTATTTTTTTTTTGAGAAGGGTTATTTTGCTTTTTCATGGTTGCTGAGGCAGACTGCTGCTTTCTTGACATTACTTTAGATTTTTCTTAGAAGATGTTAGCTTGTTATAACTATATAGTAATCCACAGTATAGCAATGTGTGAAGTACTTGTATATTTGTGCTCCCTTCTCCTCCTGATTCTCATTAAGCTGAAGGCCAGACAGCAGTGTTTCTCCCAAAGTACGTGAATGGCAAAACAGGAAATTTTATTGTTTTCAGAAATGGTGACTTGGCCTGACTCAGCCTTCTCCAGCTTAAGGGATCCTACATAGTATAGCTAGATAACAGTATTTCCCCTAAAGTACCTGAATAGCAGAACAGGGAATTGTATTGTTTTACAGAAAATGCAACTGGGCCAGACTGTTCTATCCCCTTTACTTGAGCTTAAGGAATCCTGTGTGGTATAGCCAGACAGTATTGTTTCCTGCAAAGTACCTGTGATATTGATGTGTCTGATGCTGGACCTTGGGAGCGGCAGCTGAGTGGTAAAACTGGAACCCCTCATTTTGGCAAGCAGGGGTCCTCTTGCAGACCTGGGTGTGAGTGCACCTGTGTTGTGCCACAGTCTTTAACAGATGCTTTGGAAGTGGTAGCTAGAAGATACTCCTGGGCCCACCATGGCACACAGGCCTTGGAGTCTTGCAGTAGAGTGATGGTCCCAAAAGAGCTGTGTCCCATGAGAAGAGATGTCCCCATGAGAATAGCCATGCCTTGTGAGAAAAATCACATCTCCTCATTCTTTTAAAAATTAGAATTACTCTGTTATCACCACCACTGAAAAATTACAATCAAAAAAAATTTTGTTTTTCTCTTTTTTACTTGCTTTTAATGTGAATCTTTAATGATAGACTAATTATTTTGCAATTTCTGCCTTTTGAATGATATAAGCACAGTGAAAAATAAATTCAATAAAATTACTAAATTAAGAAGGTAACAGTGTTAATTATAAATTAAATTTTAGCCTTTAATAATTTAAAAAAACTGATTGTTCATGCATCATCTTATTTTTATGATTCATCTTGTTGGGCCTGATGCCTTTAATTACTTGCCATTTTATAAACCAGGTAACACTGGTAAATATTATTTAAGAAGCAAAATTTGAGAGATAAATAGAAATTTGATAATCTGTTCTTTACATCTGTCTTCCAAGTGTTACAAATGAATAACTACTCAGCTATATTGTCTTAGTATTTTATTCCTTTTCATTAAAGTCTCAGTCAAAGTATCCTCCATACCATATAATCTAGAAATTTGACCTGTTCTGGAAATATTTAATTATTAACATAAATGTAATCCAAGTACAGAAATAGAGAAAAATTGCTAAAATGTAATAATCATTTCTAATACCAAATCTCACTGTCCATCAGATTATAGAGTTAGCATTAAATTTGAAGGAACTTTATATTTTCTTTCTCTGAAAGTGAATAAAATTTTTTAGTAAAGATTATTTTATGTGGATTAGTATAAAATACTTCAAGATATTAAACCAGAGAAAAAGACTTTTTTAATAAGGAATCTTAATTGGTGGAATACATGAAGAAAAGGACAGTGTATATTTGTAGACTAGCTGTTTAATTTACATGTCAAAGTGTGTTCGTGAAAAGTACTGGCAGAGTTTATGGGTTTCTCATATTCCCGGGGTGATCAAGAGAGCCAGCTGCATGCTAACTTTGTCATACAACCTAGAAAGTAGCTCTCAAATGTCAACAAAACTGCATTGATATCTTCCAAGCAACCAGGTGCTGCTGTTATAATAAATTATGTTCCACAGCTTGATGTTGCTGTTGCTGTTGCTGTTAGGTGCCGTCAAATCTGTGCATAAGGACCCTGTGCACAACAGAATGAAACACTGCCTTGTCTTCTGTCATCCTCCCATCACAACCTTTCTGTGTTGGAGCTCACAGTTACAGCCCCTGTTTTAATCCACCCTACTGAATGTCTTCCTCTTTCTCAGTAGCCCTCCGTATTACACAGCTTGACACTTGTGTTTTGTCTGAGTGACGTCTGAAGAGAGCAGCAATTGCAGTGACTAACAGACAAATTTTTTTTAACTCTCCATACATGAACAGAGGGATGCTGGTGGTACTGTGGTTAAAGCTAAGGAATTAATCCTCTAAAAAAATTATAGGAAAATCAATATAACTTGTAGCTCATGAAAAGTTTAAAACCTTTTCAACCAGGAACTTTATAAATTTCATAACAGAAGACAGAAAATCTTTACCCACATGTTTTCGTTATTCTAACTTTATCTTGTCTTTTTTCTAGGGTGTGGTTAGGCCTACAGGAGGATATGCTGTCATGCTAAACTGGACAATGTCTTCCATATATGGACTTAAACCTGGAGAGGTAATCATAACTTTTTAAAAGCAGAGTTCATAATTTTTTTAAAGGTGTATGCAACTTACTATCTTCTTATGTTTCAGGTGTGGTGGGCAGCTTCCGACTTAGGCTGGGTTGTTGGACATTCCTATATATGTTATGGACCTCTTCTACATGGGAACACAACCGTTTTATATGAGGTAACAATGTGAAAGTAATACCACATGAAGATAATATTTATTTTACTGGGCTTTTAAAGAAGCAACTTAGCTCTCAAAATTTGGGTGAAAGCCAAGAACAATTATTTCTATTTCTTTTTTCCAGTTGAATTTATGACTACAAAAAGAAGGGAATATGTATTTAAATTGTGTTAAAGAACAAAACACTGGTTTTTGAGTCATAGCGCTTTTGAGATACTTTAAGATTACATCTGACTAACGGCTAATCTAAATCATTCTTTGAAAAACACAGATTAACAAATCTATTATCTGTCCATGGAAATTTCTAGAAAGTATTATCAAACTGATAACTGATTTTACAGTCCTAGCAATGAAATAACAATTATAAATATGTCCTATAGATTCACCTTTTTGTGTTTTTATAGAATGAATGAGTTTCAAAGAAAGCATGGTCTCTCTAAAATACACATTTTTTTCAAGTGTCTGATGATAATTTTGCATATATTAGAGAGATATACAGCCTTGGTAGATTCATAGCTGAGTAAGTGACTGTCATACATGAGACAAAACCTAGCCATTTTTATTTTTAAGGAATATTTTTACTTCGCTTCTTTAAAAAAATTTATTTTTCCCTGCAGTCTATGGTCAATTCAATATTTTCAGTAAAACCACAATTACAAGATATCAATTCTTCTTTGAACGTCTTTATTCATTGTCTGTTTTCCATCTGTGTTGGAGATGGTTGAAAAGATGATGGCTTGGATCAAGTGTCCTTAGTCCTTAAAGTGATGTCTTTGCTTTTTAATACATTGAAATTCTTTTGTAAAGCTGTGCTGCAATCCTGAAAGCACATGGTTCGAATCTACCAGATCCTCAACTGGAGAAGGAGGGGCATTCTTCTCCTTTGCCAGTCACATCCGACTCAATGGTACACACGCACACACAAGAATACCAAAAAACAAAAGAAACCACAAGCAAACAAAAAAATCTCAAAGGCAAGAAGCTACAGTGTAATCCCAAAAGTCTCTTGTATCAGATTTACCCAAAATAATGTGTTGAATTCTTGACAGTTACTTCCATAAACATTGATTATGAGTAAGTTAAATGAATTCTTGATAACATTTTAGCATGATGTTGTTTCTTGGTCCAGTTGTGAGAATTTTTGTATCCTTTATAGTGAGGTGTAATACACATTGATGACTGTAGTCTTCGCAGTGTTTCAAGTGTTCTTCCCTTTCAGCAAGCTATATTGTTTCATTTGTATATTGCAGGATGTCAGTGAATCTTCCCCTCATTCTGAAGCTGCCTCTTTCTTTGGTTAGTTATTTCTCAGATTATATGGCCTGTTGTACATTCAATAAATATGGTGAAACAGTATAGCCTTGATGCACATCTTTTCCAATTTTAAACCAGTATTCTATGGTTCTGTTTGAACAACCTTCTGTTAATGCATGTAAAAATTCTTTTTCAGGAGCATAATTAAGAGTGCTAGAATTTTCATTCTACACATTGTAATCAGTGATTTGCTGTGATCAAAATATCTAAACAATCAACAGTGTAGGTGCTTTATATATTGGTTGTGCATGTGAATGCATGAAATAAGCAACATTTTTAAAAACATTTTCTATATACTCTAGTTTCATTTCTACAACTTTTAAGCATCCCCAATTCTCTCTGATTTCAAAATAAAGTCTTTTAGTCATTTGTCCACTTCTAACAATATCATCTTTATTTCATTACCCACTAAGCTCCTTGAGACCATACCTGACCTGCACTGTCTGCACTTCATAGTCTTCTCATTATTCTTGATCCCACTCCTCCTTGATTCTGTCACTTCATAGAAGTCACTATAGCAGAGGTCACCAGTGACTTCATAAGTGACAAAATGAAAGCACCCTCTTCAATATATTTTATTTTTCTGTTTCAGTGGCATTTGACCCTGCTGACTGTTACTTTCTGGTAATTCTCTCCTCTCTTGGTCCCCATGGCCATTGATCTTATTTCTTTGGCCTGATAAGATTTTCCATCTATTTTTCCTTTCATGAATAACTCCTAGTATATAGAAAATTCTACTTAGCTTTTATTCAATCTCTAGAAAATTTCTTCTCACTTTCTTAATCTCTCGACAGTGCCTTATTTCCATGGTTCACTTGCTAGATTACATATATTATGGTTTGAGTTGGTGAACTTTTGTCCTCATAATGACATGAACCTAAACATTTCTAAATTCCACAACCCCCAATACTTGTTTCTCTCTTTTTCACTCTGTAATTCTATCAATGATACCTCATCTACTTAATTATCAACAATAAGAACCTGGGAGTGATTTTAACTTCCTAATTTTTACATCTTACTCTGTATTAATCATTCATTCAGTTAAGTCTACTTACCAAATGCCTTAAAAATATTCTCTCTTAACCCTACTTTTTGCCATATTTTTAAGGTTAGTATTTAGTTTATATGCATAGTGTTGTTATGTGCCATTGAGTTGCCTGTGACTTATAGCTACCTTATGTAAAATTGCTCTGAACCCTGCCCTATTCAGAATCAAGTTCACCATCTTTGACACACCTGATTACCTCACTTACTGAGTGAATACATCATACGTTTCTTCTCTTGTACTGTCCCTCCACCCTTCCAAACGTGATGTCTTTCTTCAAGGACTGGTCCCTCTAGGCCTTTTGTCCAAAGTATGTGAGACAGAGCTTTGAAATTCTTGCTTCCAAAGAATATGTCAGTTTCACCCATTCTAGAATATGTTTGTTTGCTCTCTTAGTAGTCCTGGGCATGTTCAATAGTCTTTTTCAGCACCATAACTGAAAGGCATCGATTCTTCTTCAATAATACTTAGTCATTGTCCAGCTCTCTGATGTGTAACAGGTAATGATGAAGACCATGATCTGGATCAGACACACCTTAGTCTCTAGACTGACATTGTTGCTCTTCAATATTCTGGAGAGATCTCTGACAGATGTTACGAGTGCAATTCATCTTTAGATTTTCTGGCTGCTGGTGATAAAAATGTTGATTGTAGGACCAAAGAAGCTGATATTGTTAACAATCTCAATCTTTTCTCCATTTATTGTGATGTTGCCAATTGGCTTAGTGGTAAAAATCATTGTTTTCTTGATGTTGAGCTTTAATCCATATTGAAGACCACAGACCTTGACCTTTTGCATCAAATACCTCAGGCCCTCCTCAGTTTTAGCAAGTAAAGGTATGTCTATATAAGGCAGGTTATTAATAAGTCTTCCTCTAATCCTGATTCCACATTCGTCTTCATAGAGCCCAACCTCCCAAATTTTCTGTTCTGGATGTAGGATGAATGCATCCCTGGTGTACACCTTTTCTGATTTTGAACCATGTAGTGTTTTCCTGCTTTTCTCTGACAACTGCCTCCTGGTACAAGTTTAGGTTTTACATGAGCACAATTAAGTGTTCTGGGATTCCCATTCTTCTCACTGTTGTCCACAATTTATTGTGATTCACAAAGTGAATGCCTTTGTATAGTCAATGAAACCCAGCTAGAAATTCATAAGTACATGAAACAAACTAGTCCTTATTCTGTTTGTGCTTCTGACTTGTATCTTTGTGATTCATTCTTGTTGCATATTTCAGATTATCATAAGATTTACTCAGGTCAGAATGTGTTCTAACAAATGCTTCTGCTTAACTATCATTCGTTTTCAAATCATTTCCACCTTGATTCTAGTCAATGTGAGGAGCCAGAACAATTAGAAATCGTACTTATCAGCCATTCCCCTTTGGGATAGTAACTAAAGTTTCATGACAAATAATTAGACTACTTGACTTCTCCTTGCTTTCATTGGTTAACCAGGGACACTTGACTACTTAATCATCTGGTCATTAAAGAACAAATAACAATCCTCTACTTCTATGCCTTTCTTTTGCTTCTCTTGCCAGAATTATGGCAAAATATGCCAGCTGAAATAGAAATATCACTGGCTGATTTTTTACATCATATTGGGAAACCTTTCTTGCTGTTGTTGTTGTGTTAGGTCCATTAAGTAAGACTCACAGTGACCCCAGTAACAACAGACCTAAACTCTGTCCTACCATTTGCAAACCTCACCATCTCTCACATATTGAGCCCATTACTGTAGTCGCTGTGTCAATCCATCCTATTGAGCACCTTCCTTTTCCACGCAATGGCCTCTCCTAGTATCATGTCCAAAGTATATGAGACAAAGCTTCACTATCCTTGCCTCCAAGGCATACTCTGGTTTCACTTTCTCTAAGACCTATCTGTTTTTGAGGCAGACAAGGGGATATTCAGTACTCTTCTCCAGCACTATAACTCACAGACATCAGTTCTTCTTCTGTCATTCTTATTCATTATCCAGCTCTTGGATGCATAGAAAGTGACTGGAAAGACTATGATCTGAATCAATCACATGTTAGCCTTCAAACTAACATCATTACTGTTCAACAATTTGGAGAGATCTCAACAGTGAACTTGCCCAGTACAATATATCTCTTGATCTCCTGACTTCTAGTACCAAGGATGTTGATTGTTGAACCAGGCAAGACAACATAATTGCCAAGTTCCATCCTTTCTCATCTATCTTGATACCATTTATTGGCTCAGTGGTGAGGATCTTTGTTTTCTTTATAAGATGTAATCTATACCAAAGGTACTTGATCCTCAGCAGCAAGCTTTTAAAGCCTCTTGATTTTTAGTAAAGAAGGTGGTGCTCTCTGCATAATGCAGGTTGTTGGTGTTAATTGTAGATCTGAGCAACATAAAATTATTGACCACATCAATCGTTTCTCCATCTATCTTGATGCTACCAAAAGGCCTGGTGGTGAGGATTTTTATTTTCTTGATGTAGAGATGTAATTCATATTTAAGACTGTAGTCATTCACCCTCAGCAGCCAACACCTCAGGCCCTCCCCAATTTCAGCAAGTCAAGAATGTTTGCTTTCAGATGCTTATAACCATTTTTGTAAAGAGTAAGAGTTATATAAAATAAGAAATACTAGTCAGCTTACTTTCAAA